GTGGTTCAGGATATTAGGAGAAACTCAGACATTGCTTTTTTGTTTAAGCAGACTACATTATGGGAACACAGCAGTTGTTTCTTGTTAACCTTGATTTGGGAGTTAATGTTAAACAACCCACAATGGGATTGGAACTATATGAACTTCAGTGAAAGCTATCCCATCTATATTCCAGTGAATGGAATGGCAAAGCAAAAGGATTTATTACATATTGTCCATTTATTTATGTATGTATGTATGTATGTATGTATGTATGTATGTATGTATGTATGTAATGTTTCAAGGCCTTATTTGTTTTTTACTTTATCTGTGCCTTTGAATAATTAACATAGAAGGTAATATTGCTTACTTAAAAAAGAATAATGTAATGAGTCTACCTGTATGTAAGTTTAAGTGAATAAATGTTCAAATTGTACCCACATACACACACACTGCTTTTTCTGGTTATCATATCAGGCAGGTAGAAAAAAGTAAAGAAATTAAATAAAAGTAACTAAAAGAAGTTTAAACACACCCATAAATTACCATCCTCTGCCACCAAAACATTAACTCCTTTAGAAACACCTATAAAAAAGTTACAATATTCTCAATAGCCTTTATAGGAATTTCCTTTAAACTGAATGTTACAGTTCTTTTTTAAAAAAACAGCAATGTTAAAAAGAAAGACAGGGCAGAGGAGAAGGCATGGTAGGAAATTCCAAGAGTAGGCCATCCTACAGGAATGTAGAAAATGCAGTTTCAGAATTAAAACCGAAATGTTTTTCTCATGAGATCTGATGTCGGAAATAGAGTCCTGGCCATAAGTATAGTTGCAGGACCATGGTTTATTCTGGATAGGTGTTGGTGTGCAATCAGAATGAACTAGGACTACTGAATCTGGGTTGCAACAATACAGATGGCCAGTAGATGGCAGCACACTGTCAAAGTTTGATGCATCATGTGCCCCCTCTAGTGGTTACCTGGAATTTTGCAACTTCGATCTGCTAATTCTTGAGTAGATGCCCAATGTAAGTGTCTGATCCTGGGACTAAGTGACCCTGACTTTCGATTTGTTAGCTGTTCCCTGACAGAACCGCAGTCACAACAATCCTGTGGGCTTTTCCCTTGTTGAGGTTTCTGAGGTAAAGTTGGTTGAGGAAAAAACTTTCAGATTTAGGTGCCCTCAGGTCTTCTCCCACCTCATCATAATACTCCATTGAATTCAGACAGACAGCATTTGCATGAGTTGAAATTAAAGGACCAAGTTAAGCTGAAGATGACAGTGTGGGTTTGACTGAGAAAGGGAATTTGTCATCTTAAGAGATGAGCTGGAGAAATTTCACCCATACTTTAGAGGAGGGAGAAGACCATTCTGTCGTTCCTTAGTTCTGCTAGTTTACACTTGCCTAAAAGCTCTGATATTTCAGGCAAGGTCAGGGAAGCATCAGTTCACAAAGCATTCTTGAACAGGAGGAACGGTGGTGTCACAGAAGTGCTGGGAGTGATGGGAAGAACCCACTGGAGCTCTAGATGGTCCTTCCAACCACACACGGTCCAACAGTTATTTTCCAGAGCTTATCAAGCAAGGTGGAGAGACGCTATCCCATTCTCTGCAGAACAGATCCAGCCACGAATAATGAAAGCAGTTCTGATCTTCCTGTTGGCTGGAGTCCTGTTTGTACAGCCAAGTGAGTCTTCCAAGTGTTCTTTCTCCATTTCAGCAATGTTTTCCCCGGGAAATTTAGCTTTACCAAATCCACCCTTCCCTTTCCTCATGTGTGTCTTGTGCTCATTTGGGGCACTCCTTTCTACAAATTTCTCTCATTCTACTCAGGCTAATCTTTATCTTTGAAATGGGAGAGCATATCTAGAGGAGATGAAGGGTTGACTCGTGATTGGGGGAGGGGACTGGCCACATTGTAGTGCCAGTGGGCACCCATTTGAAGCACTGTCCCAAAATGGCTGTCATGGAGGGGAACATTGCTAACTTATAAAATTACATCCATCTTATATGTAGTTATTCAGAAAGTTGATTAGGGTATTTCCAGAAACCCCATCCAGTCCCTCCCACCTCATTCTGTGCCTCAACTCCACACCAGTGGTCTGAGTGATTTGGGGACACTTTCAAAAGCGCGCTAGACTAATCTGACTGACAAGCCAGAGGCACAGAAGACAGGTTGTTAGGAAGATCAGGGCATTTCTTTCTTCCTCACCTTGCACCTTTTCTTCTTGTCTGTGGTCTATCAGTTAGCTTATTTGCATAGAAGGGGGTACAGGGTGAAGTAGAAAGGGAGCAATTGACAGCAGGCAAGATCTGACCTCAACAGGTCCTGCAAGGTGAGTGGCTGTGGTTCACAGCACCTGAAATAGCCCATAGAATATGCAAAATTGTATAGAAAGGCAGTCTTAGGTACACCACATGGAACCCTTGGTTGTCAGAAGCAGAGGAAATCTATAATGCACCCAAGGTTGTCAGAACCAACAACACACAGGTGGCAAAACCTGTCCCCCTTTCCTGGTTTGAATCAACCTTCTGTGCAACACGTTGCTAGCACTCCTTCAAAAGAGAGCTGGGCCTGTTTTAAAACACAGCTCTAGTGCTCTTTCTAGAGAGTGCTAAACCCACATTTAAAAAAAAAAAACAAGCTTAGTGCTCTTTCTAGGGAATGCTCAACCTGTGTTTCTTAGAAGCCTGTAAAAAAATCTGAGAAGTACTTTGAAAGCATCAGTCAGGCATTATGCCCACAGATGCCTCTCCAAAAGCTGGGCCCAGTTTTTCCTGCCAAACAGACCAAAATGGCTTCGAGGGCAGTTCCCAGGACCGGATAGGAGGGAGCATGCCCACAGTAGCCTGAAGTGGCTATTAAGAGCTAGACAGTTACCCTCCTTGATCACATTATCAAGCACACTGTTAATGAAGCCTCCTAGATGGGATCCATGGCAAAACTGTGTCAGGGGTAAAGGACACCACCATTTTCAATTATGCTCCCAACTTTGGCATAATTCAGGAAATAAAAAGGGAAGCTTGCCTGAAGATAGGAGGAAGCTTAAAAGGAAGATAAAGAGAGTCTGACTTTTCATTGATAGCTTTCATCTATGAATTATGATCACTGTACTTTCAGGGTGACATCATGGATTGACCAATCTTAGAATAAAATTGGACGCATCTGGCCGTTCAATTATTTTTAACAAATGGGGGAGGGGCACTGATGTTCTCACCCAGGTTCCCTATAACTCCAAGGCCATCACTGACCTTCTACAATCTCTCACCTTCCAGATATGTGGACTTCAACTCTCTGCAATGCTCAGGGTGGCTGGAATTCTCAGAGCTGAAAACTACATATCCTGCCAGAGTGCAGCTGGGGAAAGCTAAATCCTGTCTTGCTTTGATTTGGCAATGGGGTAGGGAGTATAATCTAAGTGAAGAAAGGAAATAGAATCATTTTCTTCCCAGAAATCCATATTTTTCAGTGGACTGCAAGATTCTGAGAACAGCAAAAGCCTTGGGAAAATAATTACTTCATCTACCACTCACTGGGGACAGCATTAAAACAGACAGCAATTGAATATTGTAGACAGGAGGGTCTGCAGCTACGTGGGTTTCAAGTTATGGAAAGGCATTCCTCTCAGTGACATCACTATACAAGCTCCTCCTTTATCTGCCTGCATTGCAATATGGCTGCCAGGTGGTGCTTGTGAAATGATTTCATTGCACATGCTCAGACATCAGGAGAGAACATCTTGCTTGCTTGCTTGCCAGCCAAAAACAGACCAGCTAAACTGCACTGTTTTGGGCTAGCAAGCAATAATTATTTTTTATTATTTTATTTTTGCCACGTTCTGTTTGGATTTTTTTTTTTTTTAATTCTGGGAAACAAGTTCTGCCAAGTGACTTCACTGGCTATAGTAGTGGTGCCCTGATTGTAGGTTTTTAAAAGTACATTCACAGAGTGATGGTGGTTCCCCCAGCCAATATGATTTTTCCATTCAGTGCAACTTTTGTCAGTTTTCTCCTGCTCTCTCTTTTAATAAAAATTAAAAGCTGTGTGGTCATTTGTCAAAGATAATCTAGTAGGTCCTGCATTGAGCAAGGGGCTGAACTAAATGACCCCTAAGGCCTTCCCGACTCTGTGGTTTTGTGCGTGCCTCTTGCAAAAAACTAAGTACTATTCTTGTTAAGGAGAGCCAGTGTGGTATAGTGGTTAAGGCACTGGGCTAGAGACTGGGAGACCCTGAGTTCTAGTCCCACCTTAGGCACGAAGCCATCTGAGTGGCCTTGGGCCAGTCCCTCTCTCTCAGCCCTAGGAAGGAGGCAATGGCCAACTACTTCTGAAATCTTGCCAAGAAAACTGCAGGGACTTGTCCAGGCAGTTGCCAGGACTCAAAACTGACTCAAAGGCACACACACATACAGTACTTGTTAAAGTCAGAGATTTAAAAGATATCCCGTGTGATATTGAGTGGCTGGGTTAAACCTATGACTCAGTGCAACTGTCTCCTTTATTGCAGTTCGCCTCTGTTGCTCGGAGGCAGATTCATGCATCACCTGGATGAACATGAATCACCTTGCTGTAAAACCGGGCAACGTGTATCTTTCTGAACTTCGAGGAAGCAAATGCAGCCAAGGCGGGAATTGCACAACTAAAACACCAAACTAGGCTAAAACCAAAGGAAGGGATCACGTGTCCCCTTCTTATAGCACTAAACACCCGCATAAATTGTGGGGGGTTTTTTGTTGTTGCTGTTTTAAAATCCCTCCTGGAGTTTGTTTCTGACAGCAATAAACTGCTGAGAACAGCCTCCAGCTGAATGCCTCCCTCTTTTAGCCAAGGAGGCTGACTTTCCTGCCCTATTCCTTCTTCCTATAAAAACATGTCTTCCCTTGCAGATGGCTCACTCAGGTGTTACACCTGCAACACACAATTCAACATTGACAACTGCAAAACAGCGGTAATCTGCAAGGAACAGGCGAGAGCGTGCAAAACAGATGTGATCAGTAAGCCAATTGCAAAGTGTTTCCCTCTGTCTTCTTTCTGCAGCATTTTCCTCTTGCTTTGTATATTGCAAAAATAAAAAATAATAAAAATGAAAGGTTACTTTCCTGGGGACTGCTTTTGGATCCACACCCAAAGAAGAAAGGTATTTTTACCGGCTGATATGCACGTTACATAGCCGTTAGAAAGGTCTTTAAAAACGGACCCCAAATCTCTAAGTCTTGCCCCCATCATAGGGTGTGACTGCATCTTGCCCCCGCCTGCTGTGGATCAGGACTAGCAGGGAGAAAACGGAGCCCCCAGTGAAAGGTTGGCGACCCATCATGGAGGCAACAGTGATCTGGCTGGACAAATGATCTGATAGGTTTCAGTGGTCTGGGATTAGGGAACTGTAGTCCAAAGCATTTAGAGCAGTGTTTCTCAACCTTGGCAACTTTAAGATGTGTGGACTTCAACTCCCAGAATTCCCCAGCCAGCCATGTTTGTTTCTCAACCTTGGCAACTTTAAGATGTGTGGACTTCAACTCCCAGAATTCCCCAGCCAGCCATGTTTGTTTCTCAACCTTGGCAACTTTAAGATGTGTGGACTTCAACTCCCAGAATTCCCCAGCCAGCCATGTTTGTTTCTCAACCTTGGCAACTTTAAGATGTGTGGACTTCAACTCCCAGAATTCCCCAGCCAGCCATGTTTGTTTCTCAACCTTGGCAACTTTAAGATGTGTGGACTTCAACTCCCAGAATTCCCCAGCCAGCCATGTTGAAGTCCACACATCTTAAAGTTGCCAAGGTTGAGAAACACTGATTTAGAGTCTCCTTGTTGTCAACTCCTCATTTAATGTCTGCACTAAATGCATACATAAACACATACCCCAACTGCAGAAATATGGCCAAGTGTTGACCTCCCTTCTGTTGTTACTGTCCCCCTCTTCCTCTTCCTTCTCATCTTCCTACCTCATCCTCATCCTCCTCTTCCTCATCCTCCTTCTTCCCTTCTTCTACTTCCCTCCTTCTCCTTCCCTCTTCCTCTTCTTCTTCTTCCTCCTCTTCTTCAACCATATCCCTTTCCTCTCTCCATTATTACACCTATTTCTCTACTCCAATCAGTCAGAGAAGCTGAAACATTATAAGGTTGTCCAGCAATGGAGGAAAGTGAGCTATTCAATCTAGACAGCCCCACATTCTTCATATTTCAAATGTCATTACATTATGGGATTTCCGGAGATCCCTGCATACTCTGACTTATCTATCTGAGAGCAGATGAGAGCTTTAAAGACACGTAAAATTGGCCTGACCAGCTTGGTTTCCCCATCCAGACCATCCAAGACACATTCTTCTGAATCTGTATAGCATCTGTAATCGGCTTTTGGGAAAATATTTTAGCAGATTGTATCATTGTTAGAATATACAGCGGTACTTCTAGTTACGAACTAAATCCTTTCCGTGCTTCTGGTTGCACCTCGGGTTGGTGGCAACTCGAG